GGGGGTGAGGTGGGGGGAGGGTGGGTGGGGCGGGAATAGTAGCAACCTCTTTTTATTCTTTCTGCAAGTGAACTAGCTCCATGGCAAACTTAAGCAGAAGACAACATTTACCTGGAGCCAAGGTGGGGACGGTGGGGGCAGGGGCAGCCGTCGCTCCGGGAGCAGCGGTAGCACCAGGAGCAAGCGTAGCTCCCGGCGCCACAGTCGTCACGATCACCGGCGCAGGGGTCGCTCCGGGAGCAGCGGTGGTGCCAGGAGCCAGCGTAGCTCCGGGAGCAGCGGTTGCTCCGGGAGCAGCGGTAGCATCAGGAGCCAACGTAGCTCCCGGTGCGGCAGTCGTCACGATCGCCGGCGCAGAAGTCGCTCCCGGAGCAGCGGTAGCACCGGGAGCACCGGTTGCTCCGGGAGCAGCGGTTGCATCAGGAGCCAACGTAGCTCCCGGTGCGGCAGTCGTCACGATCGCCGGCGCAGAAGTCGCTCCCGGAGCAGCGGTAGCACCGGGAGCACCGGTTGCTCCGGGAGCAGCGGTTGCATCAGGAGCCAACGTAGCTCCCGGTGCGGCAGTCGTCACGATCGCCGGCGCAGAAGTCGCTCCCGGAGCAGCGGTAGCACCGGGAGCAGCGGTTGCTCCGGGAGCAGTAGTCGCCCCAGGAGCAGCGGTAGCACCAGGAGTCAGCGTAGCTCCGGGCGCAGCAGTTGTCGAGATGGCGGGTGCCGAGGTCGCTCCGGGAGCGGCGGTAGCATCAGGAGATAGCGTCGCTCCCGGCGCAGCAGTCGTGGCGATGGCCGGTGCGGAGGTCGCCCCGGGAGCGGCGGTAGCATCAGGAGACAACGTAGCTCCGGGCGCCGCAGTCGTCGCGATGGCCGGTGCCGAGGTCGCTCCGGGAGAAGCAGTGGACACGACCCCGGGGGCGGCGGTCTGCGCGGGCGAGCCGGTCGCGGCGGGGGATGAGGTGCCCCCGACCTCCGAAGGGATCGGGGTTGCTACTACGTCTGCCGGCGCCGGCGTGGCGCCCTCCAGCAGGGGCGTCTCGGTGGCGGGGGGCGCGGTGGAAGGCACGTCGGTGTCTCTCGTCTGGGGAAAGATCTCCTCGATGATCTCCTCCACCTCCTCCGGGCAGCTGGGCAGGTAATCGGCCGCCTCTCCTCCGTTCGTCACGCACAATCGGCAGCTCGAGATCCCGAGCACTGCAAAAAAAACAAGGAAAGAAAAACAAATGTGCACAAGAGGCAGCACAGCAGCAGTGCAGAGTTGAGAATTGTAGTTCAACTACTGCTGTCGTTCGCCGCACGAGTGTGTATTGAACGAGAAGAGCACATACATGACTTGACGCCACGGATCTATCATCACTTGAGTCTCTATTAGCCATACTTTTTTTACCCAGTACCCCAAGCCGTCGTTCTCTTATTTATTTTATTGTAGCGTCTGAACCTCTTGTATGGTTTGGATTTTCGTTACAGCAGTCTTGTTTGTTCGTGGTGAGAGATACAACATGTAGCCGACAACAACCACGAGACAGCCCCACACAATGCTCGAATTACATTCCCGGTAGATGGGTGTGCGTAGCAGCACCCATGAGAGTGCGGCAACAAGCTAATGAATGCAACCGACGAGCGCCTGAAACCGCCGCGCGAGAGGGCGAAGCGGAAGAAGGAATATAATATGGTACTGGAGTAGACTATCTTGCGCGAAGGGCAAATCCTTGTGCAAGTACGCAAGACCAACATTAAACACCAAGCATCTCTCATCTCATCTCACCGTTGCATCCGACAAGAGGTCCCTCCCTAAGGCAGGCGTCCGGGTCGTCGTACTGCGCGATCCCGGCTTCGGCGTCACCGACAGACGTGTTCTCCGTGCATCCCTCCTCCTCCTGCAGTCTCCTCACGGTGAGTGCCGCTAATCGGCCGCGAAATCCCACCGCTACTTCCTCTCCCTCTAGCCCCCTAACTGCTCCTGCTGCTACTGTCGTCCCTAACGGTGCCGGTGCCGCTGCTGCTAATGTCGATGCCGGTAGGAGAAGGGTAAGCGCGGCGAGGAACCTCGCGGCTCCGGATGAGTGCCTCATGATGATGATGGAAGCACGGCTCGATCCAAACGTCTGCTGCTGCAGATTGGTTTTGGCAGAGGACCCAACGTCCAAAAAGTGCGGGTTGATGATGATGAAGCTCTCTCTCGCTGAGCTCGTTGTGTGTAGTGTGTGTGTATGGTACTCGATGGAGCCGCTGTAGATGCTGCTGACTTTGGCCTTGTGTTGTCTTGTGTCGGGGTAGCCAGTCGGTGCTGCTGCTTGAGCTCGCGTGTGCGAGTTGGGTGTGGAGGTGTTTGTGAGAGGAGCGGGGGATCGTGGGCCGCGATGTCTCTTCTTTTTTGTGTGGAAAATTTGTTTTTGTTGTCAGAAATCGTGTTTTGTTCATGTTTCCGGACCCCGCAAAACCGGTATGCGGTTTTACATTTTTTTTCTGTTGTCCGGGTGACCCCGCTCGCTCGGTCTGTCCGTTCCCCCTGCCGACTGCGCTTCTGTATGGGACGCAAAACCCGGTCCGGTCTGCTGCCAGCTGGAGGATCTCCTCCTGGGGGGAGGAAAGGAGAAAAGAGAACAACAGAGCTGATTGCTGTTGTTGTGCTGTTTGGTGTCGATAACCTGCGCACCCGCGAAGCTCTCGAACGGCAGTCCCCGATACCTAATGCTCGAAAACGGCAACAAAGAGGAAGTAAAGGTCTATGTGTGACGGAGGTTGCTGCTTACTGCTGTAGCGTCACAACCCCGCCGCGCACAGAGAGAGGGGCTGATGACGGATCAAGGCGCGCTTGAGAGGCAGCTGGCGGACCTCCGAGCTCAGCGGGAGCAGCTCGTGGCGCTGGTGGGCGACGATTCGCACAGCCCGTTGATTCCCCTTCAGGTAGGTACAGCAGTACCGTGAAACACAACGACTAAACTCGCAAGTTGGTTCGGAAGAAAAACACCACATAATCACACCATCTGTTACAGCAGGGGCTTCTCCTGTACACGACGGAGGATACCACCCCCCGGGACATTTCCCCGCTGAAATGTCATATACTCCCGCCACAGGAGAGGGACCAAATCCAACGATGTTCACATCGAAAGTCCTCCTGTGACACCATCTTTCAATGCTATTTTTACTTTGCCCAACAACCGGCAGCGCAACACTCCAGTCGTCATGTGTGGGATCGAGCGATCCTGTTTCGTCTTAGAGGGAGTGTTATTTAACGTCATGTGCTGTCGTGGTGACAACAGCAGTGGCGGAGGTCATCGCATCGGCCGAAAGCATGGCATTGTTTCCAGGAAGAGCACAGAAGGGGGAATGTGCGGGATAGAGGCCGGGAAACCTATTCTCACGAGGAGTTTTAAGAAAGTCAGCAAACGGCATGCACTGAATGAACGACTGCTGTTCGAATTACAGCAGTACGTACCACAGCAGCAGCAATCGAAAAGGGGATGAGTTGTTGAAAGTCTTTGCAGTGAGCGGGTGAGAATATCCTGCTTGGTACAGGGTCTGTAAGCCTATACGCTCAAGTTCATCAGGATGCGGGGATAATCAAAACACCTTTTCACGGGGTTTATTGCACTTGTGACAACACTGCTGTAAACTGAGGCGTGTTGCGCGGTTCAACCGTCGGTTGCATAAGATATCACACCCCCTGGACCGATTTTCAAAAGCTCGACTACTCCACGACGAAGAGGATACCGAAACAGACGATTACGTTTTCGGAGAGCCCTCGACGAAACCTTTCCAGCGGCGCCATTTTCGGCACCGTCACTGCTTCTCCTGCCGAGGTACAGTATCGAGTTTCGAAAATCGGTCCAGGGGGGGTGATATCTTATGCAACCTACAGTAGTCAACTCTACGATCACAAGTTGGCGAGACGGAGACCGCAAGGTAGGTACACAAAAACGATGGAAATGTACGGGATAACTTGAGAACAATAACAAAAACTAGAGAGGGAAGCTCTCTCAGGAACAGTTTTACGGCGCTACACTACTGCTTAGTAGGTAAGCCTTCGAGAGAACAAGAGAACATGCACGCGAGGAGTATCCCTTGAGGAGGACAAGACAACACATGCGTGCGAAGAATCCGTTGTGGTCGGTAGTTTTTTTGGTATTGGTGCAGAACAGCAGGGTGCTATTTTCACAAATGGCGAGGAAGCAGCAGCAGGAGCAGCAGCAGCAGCAACAGCAGCAGCCCGTCCATTCATCCATCCAATCACCATCCGTCCATACCGTACTCTCATGCAGTTGACTGGAACAGCTCAGCTCCCCACCTTTTCGCCCAAAAACTCGTCATGTGGATGAACGCCAAGCGAAACCGTAAGGTTGCGAGTCAGTCCACAGGGGTGCGAGCGATTTTCAAAGCGTAACTTATCCACAACCAGGAGGTTACAGTACCACTGTCGAAAAGGGCGGTTTGGGAAATATTTCATCGAGAGCTTTCCTGAGAAGTATCACTTGGCCCTCGCACCCTTCCGGTTGTGGAGAAAGTACGCTTTGACAATCGATCGCACCCCTGTGCTCTGTGCTCTAGCTGACTCGCAACCTTACTGTGTTCGTCCTTTCGACCCCCCCCCGAACACGAAACAGGACCACAACAGCGACGACGGCAGCACTCGCGATGCCTCCAGAAGCCGAACCCAGTAGACAGACATACACCCTACGACCACAACAACAACCCCAAATTCACAAGGGACAAGATTTGTACCAACGCCTGGATGTAGTATGCGCCGGCCGTTCGCAGGTACATGTACGCCGTCCGCCCCCGCCGCGCGTCTGACCTCCTCTTCACGCACGCATGCAGGAAGAGTTAGCAGTCGCGATCGACGGCATAATTGAGAGGCTCTCGTTGTTGCGCGAGCAAGCGGGAGAGAACAACGAGCGGGAGGAGGAGGGGGGACAACAGGCAACAACCGGGGCCTCAACACCCCCTCCCCACCCTCCCACCCAAGAGCAAGAACAGCAACAAGAGCCGTCGTTCCCGATCGTGGTTGGCGCCCTCTGCCTGGCCCCCCGGGTCTTCGACCGTCGGCGGGCGCGCGCCGTGGTGGAGGAGGTGGAGAGCTCCAAGGGCACCTGCCTCGTGACCTGGGTGCACCCGCGAAAACACGGGGAGATAGTCTGCCGCTTCTGGAAAGAGGTAACGGGCGGGGGCGGGGGGGGTACTTATAGTCGTGCATGCCGTTGTCGTTAGACCATTGACTTCGCATCCCTACAAAGCCGGGACGGAGCACGCCGGGTTCTCACCGGACCAGGCTCTCACATCACCAAGCGCTAAGCGCCGTGAGATATTCGGCGAGTCGCATGAAGGGTGCGCTGCATCCTGCTAAGGGTTTTCGGCATCTTGTGCTTACTTCCTTGCGTACGGATGACAGCTGCGTATGACTTAGGGGAGGGGGGGGGGGCGGAAAGGTCCTTGTTTTTGCCTTGTTGGTTGTTCCCGTTTTATCGGTCGCTCGGTGCCGACGGGTTGGTTCTACCAAATGACCAAGCGAGGGGGTATTTTGTTTTGCTTGTGTAGCAGCGGGTGCCGCTCAAAACAGCAGGCATGCGAGGCAGGTAGGCCGCGGTTCTTGGCGGTCAGAGGTTTGTCCACGCCACTCGACATCGAGGGTAAAGTGAAGCTCCTCTGCTCGGGAACGAACGAACCAAACCCTCTCGTGTTCATTTTTTGCCTCTCGCACCGTGAGGTTGATTGATCCCGTGCCGCGTACAAACCCACGCCCAGGAACACAGAATACATATCGCATCCAGAAGCAGATTATTAAGGAGCTACGCCTATGCTCGCTTGGTGCGGTACTTTTAAACCGATGGTACCCCGAAGAACAGCATCTGCTGCATTGTGTGGATAGCTGGCAGGATGCAAATTTGGTCGAGTGATCAGCAGTGTTTCTTCCCGGGGAGAATTCGGCGTGGATAGCTGGCAGGATACAAGTTTGGTCGAGTCATCAGCAGTGTTTATTCCCGGGGAGAGTTGCGCGTTGGGTGCGCGAGCAAGCGCCTCTCCCATCCGCACTCGTCCCGTGTTTTCTCTTGTTCGATTGTGCTTTGTTTCTTTGTACCCGTCTTTGTGCGAGAGCCTGTAGGTGTGCGTCCGTCTGTGTCTGGTCTTTTTCTTCCCCACCATTTTTTTTCTTCACCCTTCCTTGTCATCGTCGTCCGATGCCATCTCTTGGCGGTGGTCGCTACTGCTCCGCCACTGCTACCGCTGCTGATTCCTTGTGTCATTACGTGCTAATGGTTGCCCCTGCTGCTGCTTCTGCTGCCACCGCATACATATCCCTGGTCTCTCCGTTCCCAGGGAAGAAGCTGCAAGTTCTCCGGTCCGGACTGTCCGTTCTCTCACGGCGTCGAGGTGCCGCTGTTGGGCCTGCTTCCTGATGACGGCGGCGGCGGCAGTAGTTGGCTCGCGAGCCTGCGCTCTGGCTCCCGCGTCCTCGCCTTCTACCACGACCGCGTGTGGTACGAGGCCACCGCAGAGGGCCCTGCCAGGCCGGCGGGGGCGGGGGCGGGGGCGGCGGCGTCATCGATGCTGCTGGCCGTGCGCTTCAAGGGTTTCGAGGCAGATGGACCGGTGTCCGTTCCTGCCGACAGCTCCCACCTTGCGCCGCTCGAGGCCGCTGTCACAGCGCCGGAGATTCACGGCGTTGGCGGCGGGAACGGGGGGGCTTCCGACGACGCCGAACACGAGGCAGACGAGGAGGAGGAGAGCGACCTGGAAGACGCGTGGGCAGCGGACGCGGTCGCCGCTGGCCGCGGTGGCGAACGAGACGGTAGCATGACGGCGGGGGCATTTTTCCAGGAGAGGGTGCTGGGGGATCGCCGGAGCCCGGCGGGGGCGGGAGGCGGGGGCGGGGGCGGTGCGAGGGAGGCCGCCGGGAGCGGCGATGCGGGCGGCGGTGACGGCGGCGGCGGCCTGGGCTCGGATGCGTACATGTTCGGCGACTGGGAGCAGCACACCAAGGGCTTCGGCTCGCGGATGATGAACCGCATGGGCTACCGGCGCGGGGAAGGGCTCGGCAAGGAGAAGCAGGTGAGATCGGCCGGACGTCCGCACG